AAAAAATGATTTTGCCTGGATTAAGTTTAAGAGAAAGCCAAAAGAGAAGCCTCTGGATCTCTTGTGCCAATACTGTACATCAAGAGACCCATGTTCCTTTATGTACTATGAGGGAAAGGTAATATCTGCTCTGGTGACTGAATAAGGAAAAAGAGGTACCACAAGACCTAGAAGACAGGGAGCACGTGCCTACAATAAATTTATGAAAAAGCCTTTTAAGTGCTCACATAATGTTTAACCCTGTTCTTGAAGGTTATGTGGCTGGACTACCAAAAATATGGACCACAAAAAGAAAACGCATTAAATTAGGCTTGTAACCTTTGCATTCAATCCATGTGATATTTTCCAAAAATTTCCTAAATTTCTCTAGAAAAATACAAGCCACCTCCTTCTTTCCCTTGAAGTGCAAAATAACTCAGAGTCAAGAAAACCTAGCCTACTAGTGATAACTGCTCCAGCTCATATGACTTACATGACACCTTGCAGGACTTTCTGGGGATCAGGGTCAAATAATCTGTCAACATAGTGGCGACTGCTAGCTGTGACTTCCTGCAGAGGAAAGATAAAAGACATTTAATGAATTTACATCAGTTCTTTAACTGCAGATCCCAAACAGTAATACCTCATGGAGACAGAAGAATATACAAAACCTACCAAAAAAGGTAATGACAGAACTAAACAATCACACTCAAATATGCAATATTTATTACCAGAAACCATCCAAATTAGAATATTAAATTTGAGGGTGATTTTGGAGGAGGGATTATACAGTATAAATATTCAGATAGAGGAAATGATAAAGCCATGGTTCTCAACCAGGGTGCTGCCAGATGAGAACCTGCCAGAGATGCCACAACCCTGGCACTGCCACCACCATAGGGTGAAACTGCTCCAAACAGCTGTTTTCAAATGCCACATTGGAGCCAAACTGAGAAGCAGCAGCAGCAGCAAGGCACATCTGCTTGCATTTCATTATTCTGGCAGGCACGACACTTCTGCGGCAACCCTTCCCAGCTCAGCTCAAACATGCTACCTGAAAACAGAGGTGCATGGGGCACTTCTACCTACTGGTAGCAGCATTGATCTCCATGGTGGGATGATGCTGTGCCCTGCATGCCTCCATTTTCAGGAGGAGTCAAACTGGGCAGGGCTTCAGTAGAAGTAGCACCTTCTCCTGCATAAGGTAATGCAAGCAAGCATGCCTTTCTGCTGCAGCCACATCTCAGTTTGCAGAGAACATGGGGCGGTTCTATCTGCTCCATGGGCCTCTGTTTATGGGAGACGCCACACTGAGTCAGACCAGGAAGGGCTGCAACAAGAGCACATGCTCCTGCCTCTTTTCCATCTGACTTTCCAGGAAGCACATGGCAGTTTGACCTGCCATGGCCCCTCCCAGGTCTTGTGTGCCCTTGTACCAGACCCCTGCCCCCCTCACATGTTCCGTGTGCAGTCCAGCACTCTGCCCCTTAGGACCCCATAGAGCTGAATATTAATGTTTTATAAATATGATAATATAACCATTCATATTTGTTTTTTGTTAAAAGGGGGTGCCCCAAACTTCTAAAAAGTTTTGGAGGGGTGTTGAGCCTAAAAAGATTGAGAACTACTGTGATAAGGGCACATGCATGAGCATTTGGGAGTTCTAATGTCTGTGGGCAGGGCGTATGAGCTGAGTTTGGTCTGGATGTCAGCACTTCCTTAACTGGCAGTTTAAACACAGTTTAGTAGCTGTATGAAAAGGAAACACTTGCACAACATTAGTTCTTGGTTAATTTCTGGTGTACTGTAATTTATCATGCATTTCCAGACATTACAAAGAGTGCATTTAAAACAGCTCAGGTTGCTCAAGCAGAATACACACCCACATAACCCCTCCACAGCAAGGAAGAGTGCCATTAAAAGTTCTCTCTCTAATACACCTTACACCCCTGCATCACCTATTCAAATTGCACTGAGGCTCTGATTCCTACAGAGTCATCCCACATAGCTCCAACAGGGACAGTAACACAGTACACTCCACATCCCTCACACATCTCAGCATAATACAGAAGTTAACTTTGTTCTCAGCAACAGAACATACATGCCTACATTCATAAAAAGCATTTCTTGTATCTTAGCAAAGCCTTCTCCAATGCTTTTTCTGATAAATTAATACACTACACTAAAAGTTGCTTGATTTTCAAAAGTACCAGGCATCTGCGGGTCTCCCTGACCTATTGGGATTTGTTTGTATTCAGCACTCCTGAAAAAAAAAAGGTCACATATTAAGGGATTTCCTAAAGCCATATGTAAGCAGCTAGCTCAGGGCATCAGATTTGGAAAATTTAGCCTGCACCCTTATAAAAGATGTTAAGGTCTGTCAACTGAGCCTTTTCTTCCTTTATTAAGCTTTTACCCTCTTCCTTGATGAATTTCCTTGAAAGAATGAAGGTGATTTGTGGAAGCTCTGCCTTGTTTTTGGAATGGCAAGTGACCTTGGACTAAACCTTCACCTCTTTATCCAGCTGGATTTCTGGTGTGGTACCACCCTCCTCCAGACCAGTGTGGCATCACGGGGCAGATGATGAACCACCTGGAGCATCTAGATCTACATTTCCTTCAAGAATGGCTTCTGCTTATTACATCACTTTGGTTATCTAGCCCAAGGGAGCAGGATAGTCTCAGCACAACCCAGGTGAGGCAGGGCACGTATGGTGAGGCAGGACCCAGATAGATTTTAGGTCCAGACCTTCATTAAGCTTCCAAAGCTAGAATCTGCTGCTTTCTAGCCTGCTGACCAGCTCTAAAGTTCAGGTAAAGCAGGAGTGTCAGGACACTGGCAGATTTCTGCAGCATGTGATGCACCCCAGCTGGTATCAAGCGTCCTTGAGTTCTGATGGACATGGGGATTGGCAGCAGAAGGGTGAGCAAGGGCTGATACATTCCTTGCTACTTCTTGTGTCATCGCTGCTGCAGTCCTAACTCCTCTGCTAGTGGCCTCATCATCACCCCTTTGCCCATGCCAGAACTGTAGCTGTTGCTGCTATGTCACAGGGCAAGTACAGTGGCTGCAGTTTCAGCTCCAGCACAGGCCAGGCAGCGGAAATCAGAGCTGAGCCCCATGCCAGATCAGCTATCTCCCTGTACCTAAAGCCACAGCCAAAGCTGCTATCACTGCATACCCCAGGCTGGACACAGTGTACAAGGCAAATTTCATACCCATCAAGTACAATGTCTTCTAAACCTAGTGAGAAAAAGCAAACCAAAACAGACACAGATTATTTATAATAAAAGTGGCAACTGGCCTCTAGACCATTTCATGCCAAGTGGGCAGGACATTACCTAAAAGTCGTTTCATAAGAGTTAAGACACAGTTACTGCAAGATACTATTTGAGGCTGGCAAGCTAGGATTTACAAACATGGGACACAACTGCAGTCAGTAAACAAACGTGTGTCCCAGAGGCAAAGAATGAAAGCACCCCTTTCAATATCCACTTAAAAGCAATATACCCCGCCAAAAGATCAAAGGGCAACTGCAGTGGATGTGCCTCCTCCCTGCACTACAAAGCACAGCAACTAGGCCACCTGAGAAGACCCAGAAGACTTACAAGAGCAAAGGGATCAGGCTTCTATTGCCAAGCTGATTTCCACTTTCTGGCAATGAACTGGCAAGAGTGCTCTACAATCCCTGTATAGCAGTTTTTACAAACAAGACACGAGGTTGGCAAGATGTTTTCAGTGAACAGTAAACATTTGCCAGAAAAACAGAGCTTTGAAATAACCCAAACTACTTGTGAAATCCCACTGAATCCACTTATTTCAGCCGCAATACAGAAGATTTTTTCTAATGTCAAAACATTTTCAGAAGAACGGTTTGCTTTGAAAGGCATTTTGTTATATGTGAAGTGACCTATGATTTAAAAGGGGCACAAAGCAGCTAAAGTGCCTGCAAATGAAACAGAACATGCGTTTTGCTCATACCAAAACAAAGTTCTGCTTCAATTTGAGAACACTCCTCTTCTTCAACCACCGAACCGAGTAGTCTTTTATTTGCCCAGCTCTACCTAGCAAAAATACAGGCCTCCAGGAAGCGCAGACCCAACTGGTCCTCAAGGATCAGCATAAATGCAGGTAGAACAAGGCAAGAGGAGCTTCCTTCTGAAAGGAGAAAGTAATACTACAGCTCTCACTTCAAAGGAGAGAGCAAATCCAAAATTAAACATGATGTAGACAAGAGAATGGGAAAGACACCAGGGTAACATCCAAATGCCTCTCAGCCCTTTAACTATCTAATGCAAAAATTGACAGATCTGTGGCTCAAGGATCAGACTCTTAAATCACCTAAGGACCCGTCAGTGACCCATGGTAGAGATAGTCCTTGAATCACGGGATGGCCAATGAGGCAGAAATGGTATCAGGACACAAACACTACTTTGGCTCTTACATTTAACATTGAGACACACTATCCACTAAACCAGGAGTGGCCAACTTGGGGCATGGCTGCCTCAAGGGGCACAAGACACTTCTGCATGTGGTCCACCACAGATTCAGGACAGGGGAAAGCACAGCAGCAGGTGGGGTGGCAAGTGTAAAGCTGAGGGGCAGATGGGGTGGGGAGCACAGGACTGGGAGCAGGCGCAGCGGGGAGGGAGCCCCTTGAAGAGCAGCCAGTAAGTAAAGCAGGCAGGCAGGCAGTTCAGCAGCAGGCAGGGAACAAGTGGAGAGCAGAGCAGCAGGTGGGGCGGGAACAGAGCAGCAGATGGGGCACCAGGCAGGGCGTAGGGCGGAGCGCAGAGCGGCGAGGGCAGGGCGGGGAGCGGAGCGCAGAACGGCC